GCTGGCCGGCGCGATAAATGCTGGACAGATTCGCATTCCTGACCCAGGTCCGGACGAGGCTAGCAACCCCGGTCTGGCTCCTGTTGGAATTCGGAATTCCAACAGGAGCCTGGCCGCGTGTTCACGGTTCTCGCTGACTAGAGCCCGTCCATCTAACTTGGAGCACCCACTATGTGAGCAGCTCCTACAGGTCTTCTGGCTCAATATCGAGCAAGGCATGTTCTACCGCTGGGCACGTTCAAGTTCTGGTCGTTGGGCTTATTGTCACTCAGTCTGCAGGATAGATGGCGACACCGCATCTTGCACGACGATCAATGTAACTGGGGTTCCGCCAGGCTATATTGGTTGGACTCTTATGATCAAGGTGACTCTATTCAGCTCCCTCCGCATATGTCTGGGGGGGATCGGGGAGAGTCCTGAATGAAGAATCTAGTTGACGCAACCGGCGGTTAATGGCTCGGACGAGGTGTAAACCGCGACGGTGCCATATGGCGCGACTTTCAAGTTGGAGAACATTCAAGTACGATGGGGTATAGAGGGAGGATACAGCCAACCGAGTACAGATATAGGGTCCAACCGAGACACGTACGGAGCAAAGGTGCAAGTATCCATAGAGGACTAAGGCCGCGCAGGTAAGTACCACTCTTAAACGCATAAGGTAAAAAGACAAATTGTCGGGGACAGCGGAGGGCATTGTGTCTATCATATGCGAAAAGGTGTAGCCTTGCTGTTGTTCGCGACGGGCGTATTGACCCGATAAAGGCCCGACGCGCACGAAGTTGAGGCGCGTCGCGCGTCGTGGGCGTCGAGGGCAGGACACGACTTGCTTCTAACCACCACCATCCCATCGGGGCGCTCTCCCTCTTCCTATCTTTACGCATCACCTCTGACCGCGTTACCTTCTCTCTTCTCGTCATGTCTATGGCTTTCACACTCACGCGCGTATCTGTACTACGAACCCCATTGGGATACCCAAGGTCGCAATATCCTCGGGTCTGATGTGACGCATCAAGAAGCTGCTTTTGCTGGCGCACCGCGGAACTACAACCCGTACTATGGACCTCACACCAGCTGCAGACGAGGGCTGTACCGCCGTTGCCCTAAATTGAAGCGCGACTTTCCGGCGGCGCGTCGTCTTCTCTACCTCCGTCGTACATCGAGCTCACGCACACTGGTACAGCTTCTGGCGGTGTTGTAGCTCTGCTGACTCTTTCTCGCCATACTTCTCCACTTTTACTACCGCATGAACGTTCTGCATCGCCCGGTTCAGCCTCCAGAGCTCAGTCAAGTAGGATTACCGGCTTTGCTTTGCGTATAACATTGACCTGATCCCCCCTCTCAGCTTCAGCTCGGCGAGCAGCGCCGACACATCGTGCGTATATTCACTTTCGGCCATTTTACTCATCTCATACCAGCTACAGTGCCAGAGAAGGCGCGAAACCGCCCTGATACACAAGTACGTACTTTGCTTCACATATCCCTCACCTCATGCCCTGACCGCCGTATGATAGGCAAGAAGTTACGTCTGCAGTCCGGCAAGTCAGGCTCGGGCTCTGAGCCAAAGAATCCTTGCGTGGTGGAACACAAGAGCAAGTTTGCCTCCGTCTCAGGGGAGTAGAATCAGGTGTCAGGGTCGTTTTCGCAGACTGATTAGCCTGCGTGCTCTGCAACGTCCCAGGCGACTGCCTCTCTGCCACGGTTAGTGATTCTATGCATTGTCTCCATCACATCGCTCACATCATGTCCTAGTTGATATTTCTCGTCTTCTTCGTGCTCCATGCTCAGAGTATGTACATCTCTCGTCGCCGCATAGACTCTGCTGATTCACTTACAGATCGCTCAGTACTGCTTCCCTGCCCGCTTTCGCTCTCGTCCCTTTCCGTGGTCGGTCCTTGCTTTGCATGTTGTACATCGTCTCGTAGCAGTCACGGACCTCTTTGTGTAGCCATGTGTGATATAATGATAAGCATCCTCTCCAATCATGTGAACCCCTTATCCAGCGAGGTCGCCGCATCCGACCAGGCCTGCCCGGCCCTCGCTAGCACTGGCCACCTGCATAACCTGGCCATGTCTCACAGCACACTAGGGATGTGTCTCCGGTGAGCGTGCGAGGCTCTCGCCATTGCTGGTGTTGCCGCGCTAGCCCTGGCATTGCATGGAGGCGCGAAAGAGGTTTTCACGATGGCCAGCCCCCGACCCTGGTCACTATATAGTATCCCTACAGTACAGTAAGTCGACCACCTCTCCCCGGAACTACTGACGAGTGCGTTATTCTCACCTCCAGCGGCCCCATGTGCATCCTGAACAAGAGCGCTATCGATCGCACTGAGATCGATTACTGTGACCGGGAAAGCTCGGAGTAGAATTCAGTAGGAAACCGGGATGAAGCGCCGTAGTCAATCGCATGCATACAATTCAGCTCTCGCAGTCCGTACCAGAAGAGTTCAGACTTCAGACCACACCTCATGCATTGAATCGAGTGTCACATAACAATTGGCTACACAGGAGGGAACGTAGGCGCCATTCAACGGTACATTAACGGAGGATGCGTAAGTCTCTGACAAAGATCATGATAGGTAGTACGCGGTGAGATATACTGCACTCATCACAAGAATCGTGGCCAGGACCCAGAGGGCGTAACCACCCTGAGAACTGTACCGAGCAGGTAAACCGGATGATGCCCTGTGACGGTCTGAATGAGTGGGTAAAGAAATTGATAGAAGCACATACCGGCTCTCGTCTACACCAAAGGTTAGGTTATGCCAAGGCCTGTCTTCGGCTCGGTCAGAGTTCGCCTTACAACACTGGTTGAATAACTACTCACTGGACGTTCTCTCAGAGCTGCCTTTGCGTGCGGACGAGTAGTTTTGCCTGGACGGCGCTGTGATTCTACGGTTTCCCAAGACTTGCCGATACCCAGGGGAAGGGGAGTTGAAGTCCGCGGCTCCTTGGTATCCGTTCAAGCCTGAGCGTCCCATTGGTGCTGTTGTCCGCAGGAAGTCGGTCAACGAACTTTCAGTCACCAACGGGCTGCCAATGTTTGGCGCGTGCGCATAAATTTGCTGATGTACGTCCACGTCGAGAGTCTGAGCGGCGTGGGGAGAGTCAGACCTATGCGATCTCGAAGTCACCTGAGCAGTGGAGCGCCTTTTCTGCTCTACCAAGGTACGGGAGCCACGGCGGAATTCAGTATTGGGTAGCAGTTCTGCCTCCAACAGGGATCGTAGAACATCGTTAAGCCGGTAGGATGGAGCGAGTTCCTGCGCAACTGAAGTAGGAACCCATGTACCGGCGAAGGAGGCGCCGCCAGTCCTGTTGGCACCGGAGATGACGTAGGCGGTCTTCACCCAATGACATTCTTCCTCCTCCATCCTCGACGAAGCACTTGGGAATGCTGCACGAAACATCGTCGTCAACGAGATCGCCCCCGTATCCAATCGCCGCAGAAGGAAAGCATGTCCACTGGGTGTCGGTACTTTGACCCGAGCTATGACCAGACTCTCTCCGTCACGCAGGATTTCCTGGAACTTGACCCGGTAGGAATCGAATTCGGCTACAATACGAGACTAAGCGCACGTATATGGCAAAGTGAGATAGCACGTACCCAACCTCGGGTTTGCGAGCTCGAGGGGCAGAGCATGTGGGCGGTCTCTCATTGAAGTCTTATACTGGGATGTATGGATGAGCGAAGATGGGCGCGTAAAATATTCAAAGAAACAGACCATTGGGTGTGTCAATACGTTGCCTTGTATCGGAGTATCCACGAAGCGCGAGGATCGTTGGGCATGTCTATGATGTGATATGGCAGACGCGTATATAGTCGGCGCCCATTCCGTCAAGTATCAGTCGGCAATATGCGCGCTTGGCACGAACTTGAGATGGTGTGTGTGACAAAGCAAGCGACGGAGTCGACGGGCAATTGCGGTAGAAGTCATTCAAGCGGCGCAGAGGCGCCTAAGGTAGCCAGTCGGTATGGACAGCATTTGCTCGGATGATTGCGTGTTGACGAGATTGAGATCTTGAATCGGGGTGGCCATGGTCGCATGTGGGAAGTAGAACGCGGAAATTGCCGCGAAAGACCGCCTGGGCGATCCCGCACTTTCCACCCTTCGATCCGCTCTTCCGAGTAAGTTGGCATACTGAATACCGGATTGCCGTTCCTGGGGAGCTACAAGCATCTGCCTCTGCAAGACTGACTCGGAAATGGCCGGGTCGAGTGGCTCGTTTGTTCAGCCGCCTGCCTTCACGCGCAAACCCGGTACTCTGTGTTCTTCGGCACGCGATTGATACTGATTGGCAGCAAGTCAGTGACGCAGTCCCTCTTTCATAGCCATGGCACACACCTGGGCTGCCTATATAAGCGCCTGACGATCCAAGCTCCATCACTAGGCATTCGCAATCCTCCTTGGTCTTACGACCTCTTGCCTTCTACATAACTACCGAAAGATCATTCGACATGCCGCAGGGATACATAGCTCAACGCCCGCTGAGCTCTCGCAACGTAAGGAATTCACATGAGTGACGCTCGATCTCATATTAACTATTGTATGTAGCATCGACTCATCCGCACACACTACCGGAAGAAGGCGTCCAATGCATCCGATCCCTGCAAGACAAGTAGAGAGCACGTGCACCGTTTCTCGGTGAGTCGCAACTGCTAAGCCTACTGACGTAGTCTGACTTTATTTCCGCTCAGAGCTACTCGACCGACGACGGCATATTGCTGGAATGCTTGTTGAGGGAGCTCGTGAGGTGTGACCATCTCATGTGTAACTATTGCTCACGATGACAACGCAGCGCCTACCACCCGCGTCCGGACCTGTCGACGCCGTCGAGTTGATGGCCGCACTTGCTCACATCAAGTCGTTGTGGGAGTGCTTCGAGCACGGATCTGAGTGTTACGTGGACTCAAGGGGATGCCATATCGCTATCGGGACGGCGGAAAGAGTTGCGTGGGCGTGGTATCTGGTGCGTCGACGTTTGGCTATCATTGCGATTCACACTAACGCCGCAGGGCAGACTACTACCCCTGCAGCTTTAGCTTCCGATGGCCCTCCCCCCCACCTCCTGAAAACCTACATCGCGAGACAGGCATTGGTTGTGGCGCGCGTTGGCATCGTGCCACCAGGCGGCATCTAGGGCATTACATCATGGCACACCATCGCCGAACATTACGAGACTGGCTCCTCTGCTATCCTTTGTGTACGGGTGCTTGGTGTATATGTATGAAACGGTTCCAAGCTCTTTTCTGACGTGCACATTCAAGTCGAAGGCTTGGTGAAGCAGCTGCGCGGCATTTATCTATGTGTCCGGACTAGGTAGACCGTAACAGTTGTATCTTTGGTGGATGTAGATGCCCATACGTGTTTCCCTTGCGAACGGATGTTCTGTATATACGCCCTACCCTTCACTATGTAGTCACTATGCGACTTCTCGACCTCCCTATTTGTATAAGCGATGGAATACCTTATCCGCTTCGCCTGGTTTCTTCGCTCAGTCACCAGTGGTCATTGTCAGTCACCGTCGCGGTCATGACCTTGGGCACATTAGAGCCATTTCGGCAGCGTGAGTTGAGTTGAGTGCAGATGCAGCCGCGCCGACTCAAATTATCATCAAACTGCGTCCTTGCCCCGGGCCCGCGAGAAGGACCGACCCCCGCGCTTCTTCCCGCCCAGCTTCCACCGAGCTGACGCTGCTTAGTTCATGTCATAGCCAAAAATTATTGGCCCGGTGCAGATGTCGGTGCGCGCACATCTGGCGCATGCGCAGATATACGACAATTCGTGAGTTGTTTAGTTATATGAAGAAGGTTGTGATGCCCGCGAAGCTGGACGCTGACGTCTTGTTTCTTCCCCTTCGCAGCGTGTACACGAGGGTGAGCCCGTGCTTCTTCGGGCGTACCATGTGAAGAGTCGCTGACGGTCGAGCAGAGCGTCGGCCTCGCTGCCTTTACGATCCTTGTCTACGACCACCTCATCACGCTCGAGGACGAGGTGCGCTAGCTTGTCATTGTTCCCCAGACCTCCGCGGCTGACTGAGTGCTGTTGAAAGATCGAATTCATCTGGAAAGGGAGGAAGGGACCTAGTGCGTACAACCCTCTTTGCTCGCTGTCTGTATCTGTGGAGCTGACCACGACATCCGCCGGCTGCAGTCATCTGGCTGTTCTTCCTCGTGCGTTCATCGTGTCTTGGCTATAAGACATCATAAGACTGACCCTCCCCGCACAGAACCGCTACCTGGTGCCCTTGTCATTCATCATCAACATATTCGCTTACTTCAGCCATGGTGCGTCTACCATTGTATTGTGATATCTACCCGCGGCGCTAACTACGGCATGCAGTTTGGGACTATGATACCTGCAGCCAGTTCGTCGTGTACGAGGGATCCCTGACTATGATCGGCATCTCCATTGCCTCTCTCATGATGTTCATGCGGCGCGTCCCCTCATATATTTTCTGAGATATGTGTGCTGATTCCCCACGCAGCGTCAAAGCGCTGTACTATAATCGCCGCTTCGTCTACTACGCCGTCTTCTGCCTCTGGCTCGTCTTTGTCGGAGTCAACAGCTGGTTGCTGACAAGCGCCACGCGTGAGTGTCGTCACCTTCCTATGTACCCGATCCCCGATCGTCCACCCGTCCCTTCCAACCCATCAAAACAACTGACGTCTCGCTGTCAGCCGTCTACCTCAAAGCGCCCAACGTCATATCCTGCACGATGATCTTTGGCACCGAAGTCGGCTGGGCGGCGTCTGCCTCGGCCTGGCTCCCCCTCTTGTACGACACGACCGTAGTGATCCTCACGCTCATCCGCACCGTCTCGCACGCCCGGCACCGTGGCTACTCCGACATCGTCTCGGAGCTCCTGCGCGAAGGACTGCTCTACTACTCCATCATATTCTCCGTCACGCTCGCCCTGACGATTATGATCATCGTCGCCGACCCGTCCGTACGCAACATCGCCGCGCAGCTCGAGCTGTGTCTGACGGCCACGATGATGAGCCGGATCACGCTCGATCTGAAGCGCTTCGCGCGCGGCGGGACGCTGGCGTATCAGAAGGACCCGGTGCTGAAGAAGAGCTATACGCTGCCGACTACCGTTCCGACGGAGTTCGAGGGCGAAGGGGCCGAGGGGAAGTACGTGGAGAGGCCGGAGAGGGCACATACGCGTGCGAGGGATAGTGTGGGCGAGGAGACGAGCTTTCTCGCGATGGTTACGCGGGACCATGAGAGCGAGGGTGATGGGCGCGGGCAGGAGACGAGCTTCTTTGCGATGGTCACGCGCGACGAGGATCCGGAGGCGGGTCCATCTTCGCCGTATCCGTACGACGAGAAGGAGTCGCCGTCTGCGTCGCCTGTGTCGTCGCCGTCAAGGAAGGGAAAGGAGCGCGAGATCGTGCCGAGCGCGAACGAGAGGGAGAGGGACAGGTGGGATGCGGAGATGATGGAGACGCGCGAGGGGCGGCCGTTGATGATTGGGAGCGCGCATGTCTATGCGAGGAAGGAGGTCGCCGATGCGGTCGGCGCGAGGAATAGGGCGGCAGAGCTGCGTGAGTGGGCGGAACGCTTGGGCGCCGGCGAGAAGACGCCCGAGATTGAAGCTGAAGACGGGCCTGCGTCATCCATGCTCGACTCTACTTCTCGCCTCCACGATCCAGCGCTCAGCGAATTCGGCCTACACGATCCCCCGGCCGCGCGAATACGAGGAGACGGATAACCCCATTGTGCCGTCGTGCGCCGATTGTTGAGGGAAAGTTGTTGTTATTCTTGTCTATGTCCGAGGGGTTGTACGTTGTGTCGCTCTGCTGCTGTTGCTCGATCTTTTCTGCGTCCTTGCTGTGCGTTTGTACGATGTATCTCATAGTGTACTGTACATGCTATACTCTCAGTCTACTCATCTCTTTCTGTTCCGTTCACATTCACACCCTATAATGCGCGCTGAGTTTGTTATTGATATCATTTATGCCTCTCCATGTCGGCCCGTGTGCCCGGGGCGATTTGTTGAATCATTGCCCGATTTCCCCGGCTTGCTTCTTGCCGTCAACAACCCCAGCCGTGGAACCTGTTGGCCAACTATACGTGCATACCACACAACGGACTGTGCGGTCGATGTCGTCGTGCATACCGGTTACCAAAGTGTCGACGTGAAGTGCGAGCCGCTGGCACGAATGCGGCAGTCGTGCGCTGTCGTGCGTCTGAATATTCACACCGCTGTCCACGATACGTCCCCCTGCTCCGACTACGACGTCGAGAGTCTCTCGCGACTGCTCAGGGTCATCGTCTACACTTGGAACTTTTCTATATGCAGTAGTGCTTTGGGCCTAGGCCTGAAGAGTCACCCGGTCTACACGTATCCGCATATCTGTCCGTGGTTCGATATCAGATGGGCCACCATATCACTGCTTGGTTTCTTCGATCAGGCGCAAACGCAACGCAGGCGACATCTGAGTGCTCTGTCGATCCGTACAGATGATTGCGCCTGTCCACAGGAAAGCGTCTTGGTGCCCGGAGAGGCCCAGGAGAGAAATGAACAGACCACGATGTCCGTGCGCGCTACGCTCGCCCGATGGTGGTCTTCTCCCTAAGCGCCTTCGCCGGTCCATGTGTGCACCAAGCCTTTCACTGGCATACGTATGCGCGGGTCACATCTCTACCTGCTCTACTTCACAGCGCTACGATCTGTCATTCACCCGAGATCATGCTGTGAGGCGCCTCTCCCGCTTCCTATCATCTGGGTCTAGCCTCTGACAACAGCTCATACAGGTCCAGCTCAAGTGATCGACAGACCTCCAGCCCGTTCCCCGCATTCACTCTACACACAGCGCGTTACGCTCTGCGGGTGCGGGGTTTTCGGCGCTTTGGACGCTCTGGCATGATGTATGATGATGCATATCGACCGTAACACGAGGTAGTCGGAGATAGAGGTGTCGGGGGCTTTCTTCGGGAATTCGACTCTCGAGTGCAGGCGATGATGGACCTCCACTCCTAGGCTCAGCTTCTTCAGCCGGTGGTAGCGAACATCACACACCAGAACATCACCGACTTTGGGCTCGCGTACGTCTGCATTGGCTTTTCCACAGAGTGCATCGCTGAGCCAAATACGACAGTGTGCTGACAAGGAGAGTCGGACTCGCAGGCTTCTCCGTCCTCGTACTGGACCACATCCTCACCTTCGAAGAGATACATGTGGCTGATCGCGCTCGCGACCGTATACTGACTAGTACTCCTAGGTCACCCTTATATGGCTGTGCATCTCGCATATCGACCCAAAAGACTATCGGAAGATAGCATGTGCGCCCTTCCATCTGATCGAACCTCTTTACCGTCGAGTGCTGATGGCTGGTACAGTCACCATTCTCTTCTTTCTCGTGCGTGTAGGCCCCTCATAATGGTGACGCCGGTCGCTCATATACCTCATTAGGCCCGATACTTCATCCCGCTTAGCTTCTTGGTGAACAGCGTAGCATACTTCGGCCACTTCTGGACCCCATAAGTGTGTGTTTACTCTCCCAGCTCTTGGCAATGTCGGCTGACGCCCTTCGCCGCAGACGTGCGCCCATCCTCATTTACTGCCTATTGTCGTCCAATCTTGACATCTCGGCCAGGTGCAACAACTTCGTCGTATTCAAGGGCATCATGACTATGCTTGGCATAGTCATCGCAGACTTGATGATGCTCTCTCAGTGCGCGCACACGAGCGCCTGATGTGTTGAAGAGGATGCTGATCATAACCAGTGTTGAAGTGACTATGGCGAAGGTCCCCACATTACTGGCTTGTAGTCGGCATACTTCTCACCGAATGGATATCGTTCGTGGCAATCAACTGGTGGCTTCTCTTTCAAGCTTATCGTGAGTCGTCGAATGTTTTGTAACCGCATCGCTATTCATGAAGTTGACATACAGCGGAAGTCAACGACGGTAACCCGCTCAGTCAGGACGTTATTTGTAGGAACCATCAAATCCTCCACCCAGCAGTCAACTGACAAAGGTGTCTATCAGCATGTACCATGATCTTCAATCCGCGCTAGTACGCCATGAACATGGCCTCCTCACCTATGTGGCTGATGTACTGCTCTGCAGTGACCGCCTCGCTCCAGCCTCAGCTTGGATACCACTCCTCTACGACCCGACGATCATCGCATTTGTGATTGCGCGTACCCTTCCAGGAAGCAAAGGCAAGGCTACCTTCGCGGTGATCGGCACTATCGCCTACTACAGCGTCGTCTTTGCCGTGACCTTCACTCTGACGCTCATGATCGCCTTCGCGGATCCCGGTATCAAGAATATCTGCGCGCAGTACGTGGTTATCCCGCTCTACACATCAGAACTTCACTTACAAGTAACCAAAGACTTGAGCTTTGCCTGACGTCCGTGATGATGTCCCGAATCACGCTCGCGCTCAAGCGACATCTCGTCGACATCACGCCAATCCTCTCGAGTGGGGCGCAGTAACGCGCCCGCCGCGCATCGCTTTCAGTCGCGGACGAGTGCGCTTTGTCCAGCGTGCTCCGTGTGACACCGGCGCGCTCGCCATCGTCTCGTACGTTGCTGGGAAGGAGTCTGATGCAAAGGCGACGGTCACGATTGTGGGCTGTGGGCAGGATATGGATGCTACTGAGATGGTGGATATGGGTGACCCTGTTAAGGATAGTGTTCGCCACGGGGAACCCGAGGTGTCTTCCAAGGCAACCCGTCCCCTTCCCCGCCAAAACCCGTCACCTCGCAGACGGGGACGGGTTTACTTTCCCACGGAGAAGGGGACGGGTTCGACGGGTATGAGCCGAGCGATCCTGCTGTCTAGGTGGAAGTACTACTTCTTGTACCTAGCAGGATCGCTACTGCGCCATGCAGAGTGGTCGTGAAGGTGTTCTCGGTCTCTTCTGAGCCATAGAACACCATTGTGAGCCATTCTCGGCTCGTCGAGCGCCACCCGCGGGGTCGACGGGTAGGGCGCGGGTCGAACTTCCCTTCCCCGTCCCCGTCCCCGCCGTGACCCGTTCCCGTATCCCCCGGGTTTTTGCAAACCCCTGACGGACACTAGATAAGGATGTGGACGTACCAGAGGAGCTGAACGAGTTGCCGGTATGAAATGGAGCGTCGAGCAGGTCTTCGGGTTGTTTCGGCGTTATGTATCATAAGTGTGTATCTATAGCATGTATAGTATGTGCTCAATGCTATAGGCGAATTGGGGTGTACGCTACAGTAGTGATCAGCAAAGGCCTCAAGGAGGCCCCGATGGAACCAGACTATAACTCAACTCGATCTGCGACTTCGGCGCTA